TGGTGATGGGGGGGCGTCTCTGAAGCAAACTTTTTCGATTCTTCTGATCCCACCCACTGTCCACGATTGGCTGACATAAATGTAACGCAGCGGGGTTGCTCAATACAACTTCCAGTTACCAGCATGCTTTCCCCACACCAGATTTTAAATAGCATAAATTAATATATGTATTCTTTTATTTCTGTAGATATTAAATGTCATACCTGTGCAATGCTTGTCTGTACCGCAGTTAGTATTAAACCAATAGTGGCTGGGAAAAAAGAGCAGGGGGTATTACATGAAAACAGCTAAAGAAAGCCAGACTTTCCCGAAAAAGTCACTTTCTCTTAATCCTGCTTCGTGGAACACCCCCCAGAACTTCTATTTTAAAATAGCCTTTGTTTGCTTTATGAAAATGATTCAGCCATTTCGTCATAATTCGTTTAATTGCGCTCTCTCTGTGGGTCTGCTGCATCGAAATCATTCTGCGTTCTCTTGAGTTGTGGCATGACATAGAACGAACAAAGTGGCAACGATGTTTTAAGTATGTGACAGATTGTTCTCGTCAACGTATTTGATTACGTCAGGGAAAAGACCATAGGCGCCCTCTAGAGGTCAAGGTCAGCTGCACACAGCTTCGCCTTCATTCAGTGTAATCACACATATTTATGTGGGTTACAGCAGCATGCAGTGCATCTGGCAGTCAGCTTTTTGCTGCAACTTTACACTGCAACTTTAAGTACTTACCCCCTTATGCACATTATTTCCAACTCACATAGTATGATGAGCAGAGGAGATTCATGGAACACTGGGGGCCCCAGGCAAAAAAACTCCATGGGGCCCCCCAACGCACCCCACCCAACATGGTAAAATTTATGACCATTATTTTAGTGGGAAGTCTAGATTAATAATACCAACAAAGACAATTTAATAAATACAATTCATTTATTTTCACTTTACTGTGGAAAAACAGAATAAACAAATAAGGCATATTTGTCGTTGCAGTGTAAAATGTAATCGGCCCAATGCAGGGGGCCCAGGCAATTGCCTGCCTTGCCTGTTCTGTCCCTACTCCTCAGATGATGAGGCAGCCAATTTAAAATTCTTAAGGAGGTTTTAAGGAGTTAAATGCGATTTATCCTTGTAACAGAGCATGTGAGCGGAGTGGAGCGGAGCGGGCAGAATTTGGTCAGAGCGCGGAGCGATTTTTTAATTAAGGCTGGAGCGGTAGCTCTGTCTCTCTCCAGTTTCGCTCCGATACCGCTCACACTACGATTCTGAGGCGTGCCCAAATCTACCTAGAATTCATCTGTACAATTATCAAGACTGTTACACAAATTGGCCGAGATGGAATTCGCAAAGTATTTCACAAAGGAAACTGATAAATCATACAAGTGTAGTATTCTTATCAAACGTATAGATGACAATTATGTAGAGCAAGAACAACAATGTGGTGAAACTGTTTCAGTGATTAAAGATTCACTTTGGAATCATTTTTCTCATAAACATGAGTGTGCTACGCGAACAAGCGGAAACCAGAGCAAAACGTGAGCAAGTTTTATATGGTTGTAGCATATCAAGTCTATAAAGTAAATAAAAGTATAAACGCCTATAAAGTAAATAGGCTATTGGTAATCAAGTAAATTCGTTTTGTCATTAACAGTAGGTCTAATAGGGTTTTTTTTAATTCAACGAAACCCGGCAAGGAAAATTTAATTTAAAAAAAAAACCAACAACAACAACAACAAAAAAAAAAAAAAAGAGGAATTTAAAACGTGGATGCTTAGCCTGTATATTGTTTAGGCTATTAAGCCCACGGATTCCTTTATTTTTAAGCCTATTTTTGTGTGGAATGCCATTGCCAAACGTGTCTATTGTTGCCTATATATTGCTTAAAAATAAATATTTTTTGTTCTGAGTGGCAATGTTGCCATTGCTCATATTTCTTTATGATATAAGGCTTCGTTTTATGGTGACATCTGTTAGGCATGCAGATTATTTGTCCCTCAAATTAGAGCAAGTGTGGAGCGATTTCACTGGAGCGGGAGGAAATTTTAGTGGAGCGAGGAGCGGTGTTGAGCGGAGCGGCTTAGTGCGAATTAGAGCGGAGGAGCGGGCGGAGCCAACAGCTCGTGAGCGAGGAGCGGAAATTCTCACCGCTCCACTCCGCTCACATCTTCTGCCTTGTAATGATTTCCTTTCATCTTGGTGGTGTCACAACAAGAATCTAGGGAGAAGTGATGATCTACACATTAACATGGTTAATCACAAAAGGTTTTATTCATGAAAATGCATACTTGATCAGACTTTAGTATCATGACTGTTAACAATGACCAAGTTAGGGAACAGAGTGAGGGCAGGCTCTTATATACACGGAAAACAAGGCTTTCACGAGGAGCAGGTGTGTACCGTAACACTTAACTCAATACACGTGATGGAAAACAGCTGGAATAAACACAAACGAGAGGGCACAGGAAGGCCACCAGCGACACCTGCTGGCCAAATAAAAATGGGACAGGGCTGACAGAACCAGGGTACGACAGGTGGGCAGCATGAACTTGCTAGTATCATAGGGTTGCCAACTCTCACTCATTTGGTGTGACACGCTTCCAGACTGTCACCCAAGATATCTTACGGAAAAAATATATTATTCCATCATATATCTAAAATCAGCTACATCAAAAGTGCTGGGGTAGTTTGCAAACCCTACAAATGATTTACAAGGTAATAAAACTGTTACATGCATGTAAATGCATGTGCATGTGTGTGTAGACTTGGCAATCCTGGCATCATACTGTACTATGTCCATAGAAAACAGAGCAAACTTTCATTTGAGAATTTCTTGAGGGGAAACAATTCAAGTGAAATACTTCTAGTATGACATTTTATAATTTAAGAACTGCATCTCCAGTCAAGATGGTTCTCTTCTGCCAACAGAAAGTCTCAGATTTTTTTTCTGTAACACAACTGAATCGACACTGAATCAAAGCATCTCTTATAGTTCAAAAGACACATTAGTATGAAATTTGAATACCCATTAAGTTGAAACAATGCAAAATATATCAAATAAAAAATGTCAGCTTTTAGTATGAATATAAAAGGAGGCAGGACACGATGCCTTTTAATTGTAAAACATAGGTACAGTGACAAGAGTATGTTGCTTAGTATCTTATAATAAGGTTTGCACAATATTCAAGCAAAACCAAAATGATATAGAGCTTCACACGTGAATGCATGTTCCACTGTGTAAAATCTAAAAATAAAATGACTGCATTCTTATAAACTGTTTTGGGGCAACCTAAGAAATCCAAAACAAGCAAAATACTGTATTACCATAGATATTCCTTTCTTAAATGATGGGCATTTTCACTACACATGAGTTTAATCCAAAGGCATACAGCATAATGAATAAATTATATCTATTAAAAAGAGAAACCAATGACCTAAGTTATACTACCTAAACCAACTAAAGACATGATTCTATATCTGGGCACTGCTTCACCCTTGAATGCATTCTAAGATCACCACAAAGAGCAATACATAATAAGACTGGAAATGTTAAATATTTCGTGTATTTTGCTCTCTTTCTTTCATTTGTGTAGAGATGAACACATGTATCTTACAAAATCGATGACAAAATCGTGGAAGAAAAGTGGTATACAACCACTAATAAAACGTGGATATTAATTATATCTGAAACAATTTTATAATTCACATAAGGGCAAAAATCTAAGAAATATGCTTTAGAATCTAGATCAAATAAAGGTATGTTTGGCTATTTTAGTGTAAAGGTTGTTCAGATGTTTTTTTTAATGAGCCCCTGATTTGTACGTACACTGGACCGAAGGTGGCACTAAAATGCTTAATGCAGCTATGAGTAGTTTTTGTGTTTCCAGTCGCTGGTTTGAACAGGGGGTCCGAATATGGACGGAAACACAATGTAATCAATAATAATAATAATAATAACGAGAATTAAAAGCCAGCAGTTTTATTGTAAGCTACCCTCCTGCATCTCCACATTGCAACATTACTTGCTGCCAGTCACCTTCGGCAGTTCAAAGACGAGAAACACAGCACCACGCTTCGCTCCCGCTGAGAAATTAAAAGACCCGGATCTAACAGACAAAACTGTCCCAACATGCACTACGGACCGGAAAAGGACGATCTATTGATGACGGAAGAAGTGTTTGAAAAATGGCGGCTGTGGGGTGACCTGAAGTCTTAATGAAAACATAGTGGTGTATTTCACGTGAATAGTTTCGTGAGAAATGTAAGCATCGTGCAAATATGTAACTGTTGCAACGGGAACTTCGCCGTGGAGTAGTCCTGTATTTAAACCAATAATACAGAAGTAGCCTGTTGTGTTATAATAAATGTGAGAAAAATTGAAGTAAACAACATATCCGTTCAGGTTCACTGTGAAATTATTATGAGATTCTGCAGAGGAAACAGCATCCATCTTCTAGGGCACATGCAAGCATATACTGTCACAGCCATATGCTATTGGCAACTTGGGGACTCCGCTTAGTTTTTTGGGGATGTACTAGTACAAAAACCGCGCGGCACAAATTCCACACTCACAGAACGGAGGAGGGTTTTTTCAGCCCTGCAAGTGTCAAGGTTGATAATTATTATTGTGTGCTATTTTTGGCACCATTCCTACTTTGTTTGTCTTTAGTGACCTAGTCCATTTGAACAGAATAATCCCGCTGATTAGAGAATCTATTTTGTGCACTAAAATTAGCGCTTGATACTTTGGCGCCCCATACAAGAGCAACAAGAATTTCATTGCATGACATTCTAATGTGAAATTAAAACTTGATTAGCTGAATTCTATCCATTATATGGTCTCTGTGTGCATCTGATATCCTTAAAGAGGCATACGAATAATACAGATAATTAACTTGTGTGAACAAGATAAAAAAAATCACCTTATGGGACTAAGGGGCTCCGTAATACATGGTAGCGTTAAGTAAATTTTCATTCGATTGAAACACCATCTACCGTGATCCTTTTCGCCATCTCATCTGTACGCCTGCGCAATAGAAAGTGGCGGGTTGCTGTAGTGCTACCAGCTTCATTTCTTTGTTTAAAGAATCGAGTTTGGGAAGAATAGACAGGCGAAAACCTTAGAACAGTTAATGTTTGCAGGGAAGCTAGCTTTTTCATACGGTCATTTTACTTACGCGTGGTTAAGGGGCTGAGCACGGGAAGGAGATATTTTGCTGCTTGGGTGCTACAGAAGTTAGTTGGTTGCTAGCTAGCTGCCGTTTAGCGCAAACGGTCGTTTTTTTCGAGCTAGCCAGAGGTAAGTTGCGTTTCGCGCTTCCCATTTCAACTTGCATAATGTGTTTTTGTCCATGATTTAGTGCTATGTGCTGTTATTTTATATATTATTTTTAAGTTTTTGGTGTCTGTCTGCATGCTTCAATGTATGTAATTGAATAAGCGCAACATGGAGGGAGCAAGCAGCTAATGTTAGCGCAGCCCGCTTCTGAAGCGCCTTTCGGGCCAGTGGTCTGCAGCTGTTTATCCAGTGGTTTATTAGCCAAGCCTCACGTGTGTTTATGTGTGTCTTGCCGTCAGACAGGGTTGCTGTAAAAACGTTAGGGGGTGGTTCAGTGTGTTGGTGATACTTCAGATTAAAATGCTTCTGCGTCAGTGAGGACAATATGACCGTGTGCAGAAATGTTACCGGTGCTGTGAGCTGTAACCCATGCCTGGGCGATCTGGTGAATTATTTAATATCGAAAAACTACTTCGGCTTGGTGGGTTGACTTCACTTTTGCTGCTCAGTTTTTGTAGATGCCGTGGCTGGTCAGTGTGGTGAATCCCGGTGGATTCACTCTAAATGGTTTTAATAGGATCTGTAGATCTCCAGGTCCATCTGTAAACTGTATTTGACTGCGTATTTCCCCCCCTGTTAAATTAATGATTTGAAAGTATTCATTTTGTACATGTGCTGCGAAGACATCTGGTCAAAATGAATATTTTTTTCTTTCGCTCTTGTGCGGTGGCCGGGGTGGTGGTGATGCGTACCTGAACGTGCTTTTATTTGGTTCGAGACGAATAAGGTTCAACTTAAACTATGCAACTCGCTCATATGGCGACTTGCACGTTTGCCAAGAGTACAAGTTAATTTAAAATATTGTTTGGTAAATACGCTTCAGCGCCGGGGAAAATGAAAAGGGAAACACAGTTTGGTTGCCGTAAAGGTGGGTAATGCATGCAAAATCTCTGCCATGCCATCAAATGTGGAATCTCGTGGGCGTCGCTAGAGTTGTTGGGTCCCCGACCCAGACTAATCCAGTTATGTTCCAGATGTTCTTGGGCTCCTGAGTTGGAACCGTCCTTTCCTCCCCTTTACGCTCTTATTTTTGATGCTAAACATGAGTACTTTGCAAGAAATTCCCAATTGAAGTCAGGCTGTTTATGTAAAAATAGATAAATATGTGCTCCTGTGCATGATTATATTTGTTAAATTAGTAGCCATAATTGAATTATAACAAGGATAACATATAATCTGCAATTTAAACTGAAAAAGTGAAGCACTGCTGTGTAATTTGGATTGCCATTTGAAGTCTTCAAAACAGCCTTATTTCACAAATATAGAAAATTGATTAAACAATGAAATTGATTTAGATTACCTTGATCAGACATGTATAAGCACGCTTTGTTTCATAAAATTGCATTATTTTCAGTCTAATGCCTCCAATGCTGCCTTCACTGTCTCCCCACATTGCTGTGTTGTGTTTTTGTGGCCATGTATAGCATTTCACAGAGCACTGCTATTAAAAACTGTAGGCTTAAAGTGAATTATTGCCAGTATTTTATATATGAACCAAGTTTAATGGTTACATCTGCCAAATTACTAAACACCCTGCAATTCCTGTCTCTTGATGGCTGGTGTGTGCTAATCCCAGCATTAATGATATATATGTTCCAAATTGATAACTGGACTAGGTTGGTAGTGTATGGAAGTAAATTTGTGGAAGTAAAAAAAGTGTACTGAATTACACTAGTCAAATAAAAACGCATTGCATTGATAATGCCTGAATTTTGGGGGCTGTAATCTAGTGTGATTGTACATTTAAACATTGAACATTTTAATCAAAAACATTTCAGTGGTGATTTCCAGTGTTGTGCATTCAGGTCCAGAAGTTATTAATCCAGGCCAAGATTTTGTTTCTGCCAACCAGCTGAGTACTCTGTGACTGTGACTCTTTATGTTGAACTGGTTGGTAGAAATGAAATCTTGGTCTGGATTTGTAGCTTCTGGCCCTGAAATGCCCAACACTGGTCATTTCATTTTTAAAATAATCAATACAAAATATTCAGTTTTCACAATTCCCACTTTTTGAAGTGTATCTTTGTGATTCAGACAGTGATTCTAGTTTGTTTACTTTCATGAATTTACAGCCGATGAAATCCCTCATCCTCCACCACAGAAGAAGGCTGATCATTCAGTACGATCATTATTTTAGTAGTCATGTCTTCAACTCTGGTGCTGTTGAATTTTAATAAAAGTTTAGATATTGGCTGGCAGACCGCAATTGACGTTGGCCGGGTACCGATATGCTGACATATTATGCATCTCCAAACCAAACATACCTTGCTTACTTTAGCTGCCTGCAGCCAACAACCGGGTTCCCTAGCTTACAAGCTAGCTTGGTAGTAGGGATGGGACAGTAACCAACTTGGGGACATGACTGTCCCCAATGATTTGTACTTATCACATGCTCAGTTTTGTTGCCGGGTCTATAAGCACTCTGTTGGATAATTCCTTATCCTGCTAGGCTGAATTTCAGACCATATTTGTGCAGTGAAAATAAGACTGCTTGAATAAGAAAGATGCAATTAAAAATGTTGAATGTTTACAACTGAATTTGTTCTCTTGAAATTTGAGGTGAAAGTAAAGAAACCGTATTCAATTGTATGAATTATAAAAACTGTGTGTTTTGTTACAGAATTGTGAAAGTTGGATATTTTTGTATTGATTATTTTAACAGAAATGAAATTTTCGTCTTAAATTACAGCCCCCAAAAATCCAGGGATTGTGAATGCAATGCGTTTTTATTCGATTAGTGTAATTCAACATGCTTTGTGTGATTAATTTGCTTCCATAATAGTGTGCACACTACGCTGATTGGAACTCTGTGTAATTCAATACACCAAACACTTGTCACACAGGCCTACTTTACTGTGGATCATATTTAACTTCAGAAACCTACAGAACTTGGCAGTATTTGTTGGTGCATCAATGAATTGACATTCCAAGCGCCTCTAACTCATTCTTGAGTTTTGGGGCATTATTCTTCTTAAAGATTTAGTTTGCAGGTGGATGCACCTGTTTGGAGATCATATTCAGATATCCCGTGGCATTCAAACACTGCTCTATTGTTATCAAGGGACCCACTGTGTGCTATGAAAGCATAGCTCACGGTGGTTACATGGACTTCTGGTTTTCTTCACCCATCAACCTACAACAAGTGTTTTTGTTAACACTTTACTTGGGGGGGGAGGGGGCAAAAACTTAGTAACTCTCACTAGTGAAGTACAAATCATGAACAAATATAGTAGCTACTTGAGATTATGAACAAAAATGAGATTAGTATTTCACTTGTTATTCATTACTTGTCCCTTCAGTGGTTCCTGCAGCAGTTTCTGAAGTAGTTTAAGATATACAGAATTAGGGGTGGGCAATATAACCAAAATCTTCTATCACGGTAGAAGCAATTTTCTACCTCGATAACGATATATATCACAATATAGCAATTTGTATCTGGAAATGCATAAATAAAAATTCAAACACAAAGAAACTTTTATATAATGTAATTTTATTTAAACTGTGAATTGCAGCATTACTTTAAGTAAAAAAAACAACCATACTGTTTACTGCAATGTATTGTACTACATTTTTTTACTTTGGCCATATTCGTTTGGATGCTTGGATTTGAGATGATAGAAAAGGTTTGACGTGTTTCCACCGCTTGCTAAAACAGTGCTCTTGCATACCTTGCAAATCACGTTTGTCTCATTCGTATCACTTTTCCTATACCCAAACCAATTCCACACCACAGACGATGCACCTTTTTTCTTTACAATCTCCTCATTGTTGGTTTCGTCACATGTAAGCAAACTCACCGCTGCACCGTCTTCTTCCATTGTCGAAGTGAAAGTGTATTGCGTGGTTACCTAACGTGCAACGTCACGTGATCTCAATCGCGATTAAGACGATAGACCAAAATCTATATCGGTTGACAAATTTCTACTGGTTAGTCGTGTCTGCCGGTATATCGCCCACCCCTATACAGAATTAACAGGTATAGTGACTACTGGAGATAAGATGCATCTCGATTCATTAATTCATGTGTATTTTGTGTGTTATTTGTTCCTTCTGTAGTTCCTAATTGGTTATTAAATGGAATTAATGTATAGTAGAGACAGTAATTGCTTGTGAGAAAATGTTTCACAATTCATTAATAATGAATGAACATGAGATAAAATATGTAACTATGGCTTAGTTTGTGGTTAATTGATACTTAAGTAAATGCATAATGCTGCACTATTTGTGCCCCCTGAAGTTTTACTGCACCAGGCAGTGTTCTTACTCCTTAACTTCTGTGCTGCACTAGACTATCCTTTGACTAGCTGCAGGCCACTTGATCCATCACCTTTCACCCCTTTCTTCGGTGAGCCATTTTCAGCCACTGGTCTGCAGTTGGCTGGATGTCTTAGGTGATGCAACATTCCAGATACAAATGAGACACTGAGCTTGAAAAATGCAGCAGTGTTGCAATTCCATGACATTCTCTCTCAGTTCCTATTGCAACTGTCTCCAGTCTTAAGAATTTTATATAGAAATTTGTTTATTGACCTTCCCACTGCTGATTGAAGTGGATTTAGCATAGGGCTCTCCAACCTTATTCACAGTGACAGCTACTTAAACAAAGAAAACAAATCAAGTAGAATAAATGAGTATAAACAAAATACAAAAAGAGATCTGATTTATAATGTGTTGTGTGGGCTACTTGCTGACTCACTGTGGGTTACTTGTAATCAAGGTAGCTTGTGGTCGAATCATTAGCGACTACTTATTTTAACGGGTGACATTGATTTATGATAATTTTAACCTAGATTGTCTTTTGAGGTACAAGTACCCATCAGAGCATGTGAGCGGAGCGGTGAGAATTTCTGCTCCTCGCTCACGAGGCTGTTGGCTTCCGCCCGCTCCTCCGCTCTAATTCGCACTAAGCCACTCCGCTCAACACCGCTCCTCGCTCCACTAAAATTTCCTACCGCTCCAGTGAAATCACTCTACGCTCGCTCCAATTTAAAAGAGGGGCAAATAATCTGCATGCCTAACAAATGTCACCTTAAACCGAAGCCTTATATCATAAAGAAATATGAAATAGGCTTAAAAATAAAGGAATCCGTGGGCTTAATAGCCTAAACAATATACAGGCACGTTTTAAATTCCTCAATCTTTTTCTGTTGATGCTGCTGCTGCGTCTCTCTCTATAAAATAAAATTCCACTGACAGCGTTACGTGAAATTTAAAAAATCCTATTAGATCTACTTTGAATGACAAAACGAATTTATTTGATTACCAATATTTACTTTATAGGCTTTTTTTAGTTTAATTTACTTTATAGACTTGATATACTACAACCATATAAAACTTGCTCACGTTTTGCTCTGGCTTCCGCTTGTTCGCGTAGCACACTCATGTTTCTGAGAAAAATGATTCCAAAGTGAATCTTTACTCACTGAAACAGTTTCTCCACATTGTTGTTCTTGCTCTACATAATTGTCATCTATACGTTTGATAAGAATACTACACTTGTATGATTTATCAGTTTCCTTTGTGAAATACTTTGTTACACAAATTGGCCGAGATGGAATTCGCAGTCTTGATAATTGTACAGATGAATTCTGGGTAGATTTGGGCACGCCTCAGAATCGTAGTGTGAGCGGTATCGGAGTGAAATTGGAGCGAGACAGAGCGACCGCTCCAGCCTTAAAAAAAAATATAAAAAAATACTCCGCGCTCTGACCAAATTCCGCCCGCTCCTCGCTCACGCTCCACTCCACTCCGCTTCGCTCACATGCTCTGGTACCCATCTGTATTATGCTGTATACAATTCAAACTATAGTCTTTTTTCATTTATCTTTCATCCTCATCTGCTGAAGGAGTGTGGGACTAGCCTGCCCCATCCGAGGTAGCATAGGGCACCAGGCAGGGATTGACCATGGATAGGATTCTGGTCCATTGCAGGGAAATTCACTCAGAAATATGGTCACCATTTTACCTAACTGTGTTCAGATTGAGGGAGAACCAAAATACCCAGATGAAACCTGGGGAAGACTTATGTACAGGAGGGGTTCAATTTGAACCCCTAACCCAGAAGGGGGTCATTTACTACAAACCACCCAGGTTGTTTGTAAAATGATTTAGGCCGATGAAAGTTTTTGTGGATTGTTTTGGTATAATAGTTCTTTTGGCTACAGTCACATAAATGGATTTTGACATTTCTGGAGCTACTATTGCAAGCTAAGTGACTGGTTTTTCTTTTCCTCCTCCTGTCTATCTCATCTGTCTCTCGCAGTCTATATACATCTACATGTATATGTTTGGTGCCTTAAAATGTCATTCAGCAAACTAAACAATGTATGAAATGGAAGCAAACAAACCTGCCCCTGTTGTCCTCTTCAGGGTGTCCACGGGGTTATAAATAGTATCAAAAGGTAGTAAATCACATAAGCAAAAATTAAGTCCATTAAAAAGTATCAAAAGGTATTACACGCAAATTTACGAGGTATTAAATTTTAGATATTTTAAACTACAAATTGTCCATTTGTGTTTTAAAGTTAATTTGCGAGATATTGAATGCCTTCTTCACAGACTAGACGACTAAACAAATAAAGCAGTGCAACATTACAGTAACTAACAAACAACTAACTCGTGTACTATTAGCATTTATTTCTAAACTTAATTTTACCAGGTAAATTAACTGAAAACCAGTTCTCACTACTTTACGTGCTTTTCGGGAGAAATAGCAGATAATGCATCGGAACTGCCTGGGATACAAACATCATGTGTGTGACTAAAATCTTCAGCCAATAAGGGTAAAGTTGTGTCGTCACGGAGGTGGTTCCAGTTTGTGCAGCCAGCTGAGAGGTGCTGCATGATCTGTCTTAATTTGTCTTGCTCTCGTGAGGTTTTTGTACCATGTGACATGGTGACACGTGGTGACGTTTTGCAGCGCCGGCTGAAGTCGGACAAAAAAAACCTAACCATGATGCATTGCGTCAGGACCAGAATGCATTGCCTAGTCAGCACTGTAAGTGGCTGCATGAAGTCGAACACAATTCAATGTCATCGTGGGTAAGTGCAAATCAGAAGTGGTTAGAGGACCCGGCGTTTAAGGACTGGCTAAGGCCGGTAACAGGAAAAAAATCGAGAGGGTTACTGTTCGGTTTGCAAAAAACCCATAAATATCATCTGGATGGGGGTTAACGCTGTCTGGTTGCATATGCGATGCACAACTCATAAATTAGGAATACGTGGACGAGAGCCGTTAGCCAACTGGTGCAAATCGACAAACTCATTGAAGAAAAAGCCAAACAAGGCACTTGCCATGAGTAGCCTAGTGGATAAAGATATGGACTTGTGACTGAAGAAGTTAAACAAATGCAAAATGTTTTCAAAATCACAGTCAGTAAATTTATTCTGTTGACCTGTGTTCCCAATTTAAATTCTGTTGTACAGGCCAAGATTGTGTGACATAAATCTTTAAATCAGTTTGAAATGTCGTGGGAGTTTTAAAAAATAATGAGAAAGTATTAAAGGTGTTAAATTTAACCTGAATTTCCGTATATACCCTGTCCCTTGCGTTTTTATGAATGTCGTTTGGCCTTGTCTTTTTGTGTACATTGTACATTAGTGGCACAACTCAATGCTGCTCCTCTTGCTGTTGAATGTGAACTGCTGTCTTGTATTTATGTGATGGTTCTTAAGAGTAATGCTGTCACTTGCCTAAATTTTGTGTATAACAACTGACTAAATCTTTACAGTCTTGTATGGTATCTTCTTCTGAGACTTGCAGATTTGTTCTGTACAGGATTTGAAACTGTATTGTATGCTAATTATGTTAACCCTAGTATCATTAATTGGCTAAATGTTTTACTTCATTAGAGTGCAAAACAAATACGTTTTAAAACATTTTCATCATCTTTGCTTTCCACAGACTAACTCCCTCACTGTATGTATAAATTCTCAGATGTAATTCTATGTTACAATTGTTGGTGGGGCTAGGCCAGATGTTTTGTGTCAGTGGTACAGACCACAAAGCTAAGGAATTGCCTTTGACCCTTGATTTAACAAATGTCTCCTTTCAAAGAGGGGAACACCTAGTTTGGACAGACTTTATTTCTGGCTTGTATGTTGATACAGCGTCATGCTTAGCCTTGTGCCGGTGTTTGAGGCAGAAGCCTGCTGACGACTGTGAGATGTAATTTGTTCTTACGAATGCCATTCTCTCCTCCCTTGTTCTTTTCTTCCCCCTTGCTGTCATGTTGATTGCTGACCCCGCCCCCTCCCTCACCACCCCTCTGTTGCCGTTGACAAGGAACCAGCTGGTTCCACAGACTCTGCCCTGCCAAGCATGAGCCAGCCTTCAGAACCCCCTGTTGATGCTCCCGCAGTTACAGCAGGTCTCAGATAACTTTGTACTTCACTGTTTTGTCTTTTATGTGTTGGGCGGTGGGTGGGATAAGGTCTGCTTAAGGTTTTGTTTTAAGGCACTGGTTAATTTTTGCGGTGTGGACGCTCTGGTAGGTTTTAAATGTACAGTAGTGCCTTATGTGGTTTATAGAAACCCCAGACAGTGTGTTTCATTATTCACCACTGTGGACTGGCACAAAGTTGGTAACCCTTATGTACTTCAGGGCAGCTATCATCATATAGCTTTTTTGCCTTCAAATTCTGATTTGGCTGATTTTACCTTGAATTTAAAAGGTCAAAGTGGAGCTGTGTGAAAGCACATGCAGCATAAGTCATGTTGATGTTCTGTGGCATCTCCTGCGTGTAAATTTTTCAGATGTTTCACATGGTTTTAAAAACTAAGAAATGTATAATAGAGGGGACAAAAAAAAAACAAATCCTACAAGAAAACAGTGCCACCAAATGTACAACTTTAATAGCTTCACCACTCTTCAGATATAGCCGCTCCTAGTTTTGAAATGACAGCCCAGCTGAATACTATGTAATTAAAATGACAGTTTTAAACCCCTCTTAAAACTTGACTTTTCATCAGCAGTGCTCCCTTTATGAGAAATCGATGAACTTTTTATCACCTTCTGTTTTTCTTTTGTGAAATGCTGCTTCTTTACAGTCTAAGTACTAAGATGAAGCAAATAGGCTTTGTGTTTAATATCTTCAATTTACAATTTTTCCTCCTCCTAAAAGCAGCTGTACAGATTGTGAGAGAGAACTTTAAGATGCTGTGATTAGACTGAGGTTCCAATCAGTAAACACCTGCTACTGCAGGGAAACATGTTTATAGAACTATTGCTCCTTTACACTCATTTTGATTCCAAAAACCAGCTGTTGTGATGTTCATTCATTCAACTCTGCTTTTGCTAGAGTTAATGAGAAGGTCCTTGTGTAAGTATCACTTAACATGTTTGTTAAACCAAAAACAGTAATTCCCTCTATACTTATTCAGATCATGACCGCTGTCTGTTTTCAAAAACAGAGACAAGTTCCAAACTCTTCTTGCACTCTTCTTGCTAAAGGCATATGAGATACAAACCTGCTTATGAGGTATTTGCTGGATTCATTTATACTGCTTTATTCACAAGTCTTATCTCCATATTAGTTATTCTCTGTCGGCCCAAAAGATGCTATTGTTAGGAACTTTTTTTTGTTCAATTCTTGTTGCTGATGCTGCTTTGACCTTAAGATACATGCTGGTATCTTTTGCAGTAAAATTAATTGGTATGGCATTTGGAAAATACATCTAAGCATTTCTCAAGCTTTTCTAGAGCTTAATGCATTTTATTTTTTGTTAAGCTGGTATTACAGGACTAACGTAGTTCATATACCATGCTAAACGGTACAATGCAAGTAAAGTTTGAAGTCAGTGTTTGTCAGGGCTTCTTTTAGTTGATTCAGCATTTCCTCAGTGTTAATGCTGCACATAAACTCTAGACTCCTCCACCCGCTGCTTTGTCCAGATTCATACAAACCCCGCCCACCTGGGACTGAACTTGGCCCATGCTGGACTTCATCCCCCATGTGTAGAATTGTTCTTTATAAACTGTAATTGTAGTTGTATATGAACATGGTGAGTAGTAGACACATAGTACTGCTAGGTTTCTGTATGTTGACTTACCTCAGTAGGGGAGTTGTTGAGACCTGCATATAGTATATGGATATTTGGTTCTTCCCATGTACTCTTCACCCTGTCAAGCCAGCATATACCTGAGACAGAGACACAGATGTTTACTTGACACACTTCAGCAATATTTATAAAATATTGGGTTAGTGTTCCCAGGCCCCAGGAACAGGTATCGCTTTAAAAAGTTTTTGTTGTTAACCCTCCATAATCTGTCATGCATAGCCAGCTTATTGCTTTTACAATTTTGCCCCCCCCCCCCCCAATAATTTTAAGATTCTTGATGTCTGCATTGTTGTGGTTTCCATTTAAATCTAGACTTTGCACACAGGAATAGGCAGTATGATGAATACAGCATTTCAAAAAAGTCAGTGCCTCTAAGTTCCATGGATGAACCTAATAGAACATAAAAACTGCTTCTGCCCAGCCATGAATACTTGTGTATATATTTGAAGGCCTCAGAACTTCACTTCTCAGAATCAATGCAGAGGGAGTCCCCACTGATAGAGGTGTGACCTTGATAAACATGGTCTGTTTTTGTCAGTTGCAGCCATTTGTGGACACACACACACACACACACACACACACACACTGTGGGACCGAAAAGTGACTAATCGGACACTCCTGCACTTTATACGTGCATCTTTAATTGGTCTTTGTCAGTTGATGATTTCTGTACAGGGTTTTCCAAAGGTGCTTTGGGGGTTTTTATGATACTACTTTATTTAGTGTTTGTATGCAGTTTTGTATAAGGGTGCTTTTTGCCCTGATTCAGAACAAATCAAAAGGCTTGTGTTCTGATGATGCTTGTTTAAGAAGCAAGCATTGTGGGGGATACTCTTTAATATATTAGTTTTGATGCCTGATTCAGTGCTAGTTGTGAACTTCTGGCAATAGAAAAACTTGAGACGACGTGTTATGTGTTGGCTAACTGCTTGCCACTTTTCCCTGATCCCTCCCTGTTCTTCCTGCCAGTTCCCCTTCCAGAGGTCAAGCTGGCAGCCACAGCTGGGAAAAAGCAGAACAAGAAGAAGGTGGAGGAGGTAGTGGAGGAGGAGGAGGAAGAATATGTGGTGGAGAAGGTTCTGGATCGGCGGGTGATGAAGGGCAAGGTGGAGTACCTGCTGAAGTGGAAGGGATTTTCAGAGTGAGTACTTCACCTGTATCGATGAAGGGTTTTCACAACTGAAGCTTAACCAGGTGCTGTGTGTGTGTGTGTGTGTGTGTGTGTGTGTGTGTGTGTGTGTGTGTGTGTG